ATATCGAAAGATTAATAACAATTGCATAAAGGAATATGCCAAGTTGTTCTACAGTAGATATATATTGAATATTTGTTATATCTACTATCTTGATTAACTAATCTTCTAATAATAAAAACCCAGTTTAAGAGATCCCTAGATTATTTTTAATCTTTTCAGAATATTCAAAAACTAATTCGTATATCTATTGAATACTAGATATTTTGGAGATATATTATAAATACCTATAAAAGTTATATTTATAATAAATAGTGACTACAATTATAGATAATATTGAAATTATTATCAAAAGCTTTTTATTACGTTTTTTCCTCTTTTTCAATAATGGCAATATTATAATTATAGAATTAGATCAAATTATTAAATGATATTGGGAAACTAAAGCAAATAGACTAGCGAAAATATATATTCTTTAATTTTTACATTTTTCAAATATAGCTTTTTCAAACATGTTTCATTTATATAATATACTTATAAGTATATAAATTCGTATACGCTCTTCAATTTGAGCCAAACAGATTTTTGAAAAGTGTACATTTTTATTTATATAATAGAATATGAAAAATTATTTTGGTGGTACAATTTTGCGTACACTACTGAGCCAAACAGGCCCTTAATTTCATTTAACAGTGCAGATTAATGTCTATAAATCCATCTCATCTCTATCTTCATTACTATACAAAATAAATCACCTCAATGCATATAGCAATACCACAAAAGAAACTCAACCAAACAAAAGATAAATACAAGAAAAACTGGGCCAGAAGTGACCATTCTGAATGGAAATTCTCAATACATTAAAAGACAATGGGTTCATTTTATGCTATGATCAACAATTGTGAATTAACTATTTCCCCAAAATGATAAACAACCATTCAATCCATCCATACCTTTCCCGAACCCGTTTTGGTATATGTATACAGATGAACCCACCCATTTCCCTCAAACAATCAAAAGAACCGGAATCTTGGTATTGTCGTACCCCTAGCGCTTGCCCATGCCCCAATTCACGATCCCCACGACCCCGCAACCCCACAACGCCTACATGCAAAGCTAAACAGCTTTCGCATCCCGCGAAAGATGACAAATGAGACTAAATACAGAAGTTGGTCTCGATGACCCGACGTGCCGCGTGGATAGTATTTGCGCCTGAATTCGAACAGAAAGGAAACTTGTTTTAAAAGATTGTGTGTTCTATCGATCAACTTTTGGTGGTTGCCAACCGTTGATATATGCCATCAATCCCATACCAATCATGACAATGCCAAGCATTGAGACATAAGGTGTCGAGTGGTATAACAGGGGATCGTGGCCGGTATGTTTCGAAGAAGCGATCGCATTTTTGAGCGATGCATGAAGTTCATCATTTTCGGATGAGGTACATTTTATACCGTTTGGTCGTATTAGTGGGTGGAGTTTCAAATCAGCCCCATTTTCAGCTCCGTTGATAACTTTGTTTGAGAATTGTTTCGATGGAGATTTGGATCGGTCAGATGAAGGCAATTTTCCAAGTTGCTCATCCGAGCGAATTTTTGCGATCATTTCTGCTAAAGTCTTTCGGCTGGTATCTCTTTCTGCTTCGGCAGTCTCTGCTCTCTTTTTGTATGACTCCATCTGAGATCGCAGCTCCTGCATATCCGAAAGCATACTTTCAAGCCGCTGTTCTAACTTACAGGATGAGTCGGCAATGCCGTTAGCGTCGACATGTGTATTGACTTTGTCCTGTGGTGATAAATCCTCCAAGGGTGGTTCAAAGGCATCTTCGATAATTGATCCTTCCGTCCCAGATTTGGCGCTTCCATTCGTTTTACTCTCCGGGGTTTGCAGCTCCAATCTTTTAGCCATTTCTTCTGCCGTTTCCCGTGCCTGCCGTTCCTTCTGAAGCATATCCTCTAAATCCCGCATCCGAGCACATTGTGAATCAATCTCTTTCTTAGCCGACGCTAATGCCTCCACCAACGTAATTATTTGACTGCTGACTTCTCTGACCGGGGAGCCATTTGTCAAGGATCTCTGCTTTTCGGTGTTAGATCTTCTCAGAGAAGCGGTAGGTGATGCAGGATCGAAGTTATGAGAACGGGCAACATCTGGCTTTTCGGGAAGAGGTTGTTGAGGCGGGGGAGCGGGAGGATCAGAGAATCGAGTTTTTGCTTCAGTCCTAAAGGGTAATAAAGAACCATTTGCTACCACAGGTTTAGGTGCTTCTACTTTTGGCGCACTCTCATGTTCTTTTACATTATCCTTTGATAGCAGGCCTCCAAAGAAGTTGTCAGCTCGCCCCAAATCAGAATTTTGTAATCGGGCCGTCCGCATTTCGTGCTATGTGAGATGTTAGATACAATGAATCAATCTATGTAATTATGTGGACTTACAGAAAGCCTCTTTACTATCTGCTCTGTTGTAACGGGAGTTAACCAGAAGTTCATCGGGCGTTGCTGGCCCATGACACTCATTTGACTCCCAGCTACGCTACCTGGAGGTGGTGCAGGCCCCATGCGACCATTACTGACCATCGAGCTTTGGCTTCCATTTCTCCCTCTCATGGTCGGGTTTTGAGATGGTAACATCATTGCTCCATTAGCAGGATTTAAGTCGCCAAAGTTCATGTCCAGAAGATTATTAGTCGAGCCCGCAAAACCCGCATGTTCGACCTTTGCAGCGACTTTATGATGTACAACGGTCTTCTGGTCCTCGCTCACAATGTCTATACCAAGCTCGAGATGATCTTGCGACTGCAACTCGTGTGGGTCCGAGTCCTTATTTTCGGCTGATAAACGCGCTCCATTCACGAAGGTACCGTTGGAGGATTTAACATCTCGAATCCATATCTTCCCACTTCGATCTGCCCAAATCTCCGCATGTTGTCTCGATAACACTTTCGAATCAAAAAATCCGTTCGCAGGCGATGGTACTGTTTTGGCATTTGTTTGACGTCCAATTCTTAGGCTATCCGGGTAGAAGGGTACTGAAATCCTCTTGTGATCAAAAGTACCATTCATAGATAGCAAGTAAAGCATTGGCTCCCCTTCTACGGGTTGGACTTGGGGTCTCATCTGTTGTGTTCCATTTGGTGTAATGTGTTGTGATGGTACCATGGGGGCCGGCTGGTGTAATGGAGTCATGGATGAGCCAGAATTACCATTTGGCAATGCAGATGAAGGCCGTGTCGTGTTAGAACCAGCTATCGAGTCTGCTTTATTAGCCCATGACGGTTGCACCCTTGGGACTTTCTTTCGTGCTGCTGCTGCCGGTCCCCAATTGTTTGATTCATTAGACGAGGACGTAGGTACACCATTAGTCTGCGGTGCTTGTTGCGATATCGTCGAGGTGGATGAAGTGGATGAGTTTGAGGATAATGAAGTTATCGAGGAGGATGAGTTGGCGCGCTGAGCGCTTTTCCGTGGCATGAACATTCTGGCCACTTCGTCGGCATTCATAGCATTCATTCCTCCTTGGTTGACACTAGATCCCCATGCCGACCTATTGATCTGCGGGAAACTCGGTGGGTTTGCGACAGCCGTCATCGGTTAATCTGATTATCAACCGTACTGAAAAGCAAATAGGTGTGCCTCTCTGATGATGTTGATTTGGATAAGATCGTTGGAATGCTGTTGCTTTCCTCCCCCCATTCAACTTCAACTGCAACCAAGGTGCTCTGCTTTGATGACTCTCTGATCTAAATCGTGAATGGCTAAATGTCTGCAACGTTCTATCTAATGAATGGGATGGAAGAGATATCGTATCGCACTAAATTTGCAATGATCGTCAGTAGCTGTCCACAAAGATTTGGCGCCATGATGACCAGCGGCGCGACTATGAAAGGAGTGTGCAAGGAAAGCCGGAATGCATCAACTACAATATCAAATAGGCTCTAGACCAAAGGAAAAGATCAGGAACACTTACATCTATGCAATGCAGGTGTTGTAGAAAAGGAAACCTATTTCAATTTGATGTTGCCAAGCTGGAAAGTTTGGACATCGGGTTGAGACACGCGAGGTCTAATGTTTAACCAACCAGCATTCAAGATCGGGGAACAAGACAAGAGCACTTGCGCACGTGCTATCTCTTGCAGATACTTGAAATCTTGATATGAAGAATTTATTGAAATGTATGTCTTGACGTTGTTTTGAGGAGTTTTCTGCTGCTTGTTCTGATACCAATCGCAGTTTGGATTTAACCATTTTGGGGGAGCCATTGGCGGGTTTTCTCATATATCACGTGATATAGTATATATATATATAATTATATAAGCTTTTAGCCTGAATTCTAGGGCAAACACTCATAATGTGGGGTAGGTAGGTACAGGAACACGATCTGTGGTTATCCGGGAAACGCCGTGGGTATGGATAGATTTTGAACATTGAAAGTTCAGTTCAGTTCGGTTCGACGCTCAAAGCTTGAGATTTGACCTGGTGAATCCCCACAAGTTCGAAGTTCGCGTTACCATACAATTCAATCTGATCCTTCTAAATACTCAAATATGCCTCCAGTACCACAATCTCAAGGTCATCCCGGTGGCCAGACCGTCTGGAATAAGCGTAAGGCTATCTGCTTTGCTACTCAACTTTTGGACCTATACTGATTATGTCTTACAGTCCAGATGGGAGCTATGATGGGTGGCAGTATGCGATCATGATCTCGTTCATAGAGTTAAGTTACTGACCATGTTGAACAACAGCTGTCGGTACTATATTGGGATTTATGTATGGTATGTTAAAGCTGTAGGGGTCAAAAAGTCCCAATCTGACAAAGGTTTAAGGCACACTCACCATCATTAAATTCGGTCCTGGCCCCAATGGAGTGTGGAGAACTCTGCGTACATATATGCTCACTTCAGGATCTACTTTCGGGTATTCATTTCTAATGTTCCTTCTTCAAACCTCACAGGATGCTAATGGGTTGCCAACCAGGTTCTTTATGGCTATTGGAAGTACCATTCGTTCCGATAGTATTGCATCTCCAGAGACAATGGCAGCATTTGGTCGTGCGAACCGACGTCCTTTGATTATGAATCGCCCATACCGTTCTTCGCGGACGTCATAACCGAAGATGCGCCATCGTAGAGTGAGGAGAAACATGTCTGTCTTGGGGGTAAATGGAAGCCGACGAATGGCTTATACTTCATGGCATATATTTACCTATACATAATGGGTATTTGGATCGGGGGTGCGGGGTTTCTGGTCTCGCTGCTCATCTGTTTGCATGGGGGCGGAGTTCATTGGGGTCAACGTGTATCAACAAACCTTTCCCCGGAGTTTTTTTCTTCGAGCCTCCTGATGAGGTCGATTCAACAATACCCGAATCATAAAGCTTTGTCATGGTTCATCGGTGTTATGCCATTTCGAGTTTCAACTTGTTACCGCGGCTTCGGGTCTTTGTTGGCCACTAATGTCAGGTTTAAATGAAGTGGTCGTGTTTTGTTTTCTCATTCCTACTTCGATTATCCGAAAGTAACAGCCATTCGAACATCCTCTCCAGTCGGTAGGCACTCTCGACTAATGGACGAGCATTTTCTCCCGAACAGTATACTTGCTCCTGGCCGATCCACCGTTTCTAGGCCATTTGGAATGGATGCAGCAACTTGGTGAATTTATTTTTTAATGATATGTTCTCGGCATGGTATGTGTACGCCTTGAAGGTCGCACCGTAGCCTTGGTCCTCTCTGATATAATTGCATGGTTCTCAACATTGACGAAAACTGGGACTTCTTTTGTGAGGATAAGGCTGGACACAAACCATCAATGGCCATGACTGTGGAAAGTTAGCGGATCCAACCCCAATTGTTTATTTATCCTATCTCCCGGGTGTATTGCAAAGTAGGAGTTTTATAGAAACACGTTCAGACGAAATATTCTGGTTTATATGCATAAGAAGTGATTTTGACTACGTAACGAGAGAAGTCTTTTGCTTTGAGGCTGACATTGTTCTAGCTTCGTAGACAAAATCCTTCGTCCTGATGGTGAAACCTCGCTTTGAATACTTGTAACGGTTTTGAACGGTACAATGTCATCCGAACAATGTTGACTTCCTCGACATCAATTATCGCATCTTGAAAATCTCCCCAGTCAGGCTTAATTTAAGGTTCAAAAGCCACGGACTAACATTAAGATTGATTTGACCGCCATTCTGAATCTTTTCGACTTACTCAAATGCATCAGTGACATTTCGGGAAACAGCATACAGCTCGATAACTATTGTAGAGCAATTTCCAAATGCCATCCCATCACACCCATTAAGGTTCAGCAGTGACTATCCATCGGAAAGCAGTCAGTTATAGTCATACAAGAATGTTTGTTTGTGTTATTGGTTTCAAAGTACAATCTACAGCCAATTATTTCTAAGAATATTCTCTGACTCGAGACTTTTCTTCAGAGACAAATTGATAAATAGCTACTCGAGTATTGACATCGCAATCTTGGAGAGAGGTCCGTAGATTTTAGCTTACAAATAGTTTTCTCGCTTCGCATGTTCTGTAAGAGATCTTACAACTTTCCATCTCTATTTGTACCTGGCCTCTTGACAATACGAGCATTCTCATAGGTAATTCAGGGAATTAAGTGTGACTATAAGTATCGAAAGCGGATGTTTCCACAATCATTTGTTTTCGTGGGCTAACGATCCGGGTAGCATGCGAAAACCACGACGTTGTATACTAATAAATCTTACCAATTAGGCTGGACTACTACCGAACTCTTATTAGGCCTTGAGGTTTTTTGCCATTAATCGTGGGTAACTCGTGGCAATACTGCGACCATGCACTGCAGAATACTTACTAGATTCAATTACTGTACCACCAAATCCTCAATCAAAAAAATCTAGAGCACATGCAATACAACGCTGACTTCTTTTCTACACGCATCCCTGTCAAGACTCTTTTATACTTTACAGCTGGCGATATACACAAATAGATGGACCCTGAAACATATCATTCTTAGCGGTATCCTCCTTCACTGCCCGAACTGCAATTAACTTCTGGATCCTCGAAGGCGATATTGGCACAGATGTTTCAATTTGGTCTATACTCATATTCGCCAGAAAGTAACTAGGCTATTCCTGTTGTAGTTTATCACTGTGTGGTACGTGCTAGCTTACCCGGGTTGCGGACTTTCTGGCGGCATGAGTACGTTTTGATATATACTACTACCGATATGGACATGACTTTGTTTTGAAACATTAGATGATCTCCATATCCTTCTTTGAATGATGATCAACACGTTATCGGAAAATTGTTTGGACGATAATTGTCATCACAGTGTGATGATCACACACAGACGAGATTTCCTCAATGGGATACGGGGTGGATCGATCTAGAGATCCTGCAATCCTCCAATTTAATTAAAGTCAAGCAAAGGGTCTTCATTCTTTTCGTTCTAGCCGTCTAGGCAATTTTAGGTCAGCTCAGAAAGCTCTAATGACTAGACTACTACACCAAGAACTTGGCTTGCTTCCTCCTTAAGGTTAGCGCCGCTGGGGTCCATTCCATTATTCCCTATCCTTTCATCGCATCTAGTGTCACCGATACCCGTCCATGCGTGTTTGTTAGTGGATAACCTTATATGTAGGCCATTCATTACTCGAGAGTACTCCGTCCGTACTTGTACTCGAGTCTGAAATTTCGCATAGAAATCATTGTAGTGCAATATCTAGCTTCCATGTTCCTGAGCCAACTAGGCGGGTTGGTTTCTCAACAAGAGCATCTTCCCGCATTCTGTCATTGCAATAAATCTAGGATTTGCACCATCTCTGAAGTCAGAATGAATCATACGCCAGGTGGTAGGCTTACATCAGTCCTCTATGTTAAACTACCACTGTGGTATTTGACCGTCTTAAGCTAGAATTAAAACTGCAAATGAAGTGTAAGGAATATCTGATCTTTTTTAAGGTACCGACCTCCGGTCTGTGCAATACTAGAGGAACCCTTTGTCGGCTTGAGCGCACCGGAAAACGATGAAAGTTCCGAAGCTTTTTCCATATATAGTACCACCACTTGCCCCATCTCTACTTGTGTATCTCATCCTCAAGTCTTCGTCCAATATCATTGAGACGACCACTTCAACATGTCTTTCTTCGGCATACTAACGGGTATGCTTGCCGGTGCTGCTGGAATAATCAACACTTTATCTCAGCAGGCAACTAATGGGTAAGTCCAATCCTCTGCTCGAAGAAGTACTATTCGACGATTATTTACTTATGCGTCCCTTCTTTAGCAATTCTCTTTGGGGAACTCTTCAAGCCCCAACCTTTCCTCCTTTTCTCACGAACAATCCTCTCCCAAATGGATTCCCCTGGGGATCATTGACTGCAGGCGGCAACAATCCTTATACCTCATCTCCTTCTACGGGAGTTGTCCGGTCCTATGATTTCACCATCACACGAGGGACAATCGCTCCAGATGGATATTCTAGGGAAGTTATACTTATCAATGGCCAATTTCCAGGGCCTGCCATCGAGGCCAACTGGGGTGATACCTTCATGATTAAGGTGCACAATCAAATCACTGGGCCCGAAGAAGGGACATCATTCCATTGGCACGGCTTATTACAGAAAGGAACTCAGTATATGGATGGTGTACCTGCTGTGTCACAATGCCCTATTGCCCCAGGTGCTTCTTTCACATATACCTTCAAGGCCGATCTTTACGGGACTTCCTGGTACCACTCGCATTATTCTGCTCAGTATGCTGGTAAGCTCGACAGCTATCTTACTATAACTCTTCCCTCTAACTGACTGCTTTCAGGTGGACTTGTAGGACCTATGATTATCCATGGGCCCAGAAACGCACCATACGATATTGATCTTGGACCAGTGTTTTTGACGGATCATTATCACAAGGACTACTTTTCAATAGTTCAAGAAGTTGTTGGTGGGGCTGGACTATCGAATCCTGTACCATGTTCGGACAACAATCTCATCAACGGAAAGATGACTTTCAACTGCTCTACCAAGGCTGCCGGTGATAATACTCAATGTGCTGATAATGCTGGCATCTCGCGGTTCAAGTTTACCACAGGAAAGACACATAGATTGAGATTAATTAATGCTGGTGCCGAGGGTATGCAACGGTTCAGTATTGATGGGCACAAGATGGTTGTCATTGCCAATGACTTTGTCCCTGTTGTAAGTACCTCCAACGCCATATTTCGGGTGCGAATACTAACTAATGCAGAAACCATACACCACCAACGTTGTCACATTGGCAGTGGGGCAAAGAGCTGATGTCCTTGTTACCGCCAACGCCGGAAGCTCCGACTCGGCATTTTGGATGAGATCAAATATCTCCACGATCTGTTCGTTAACCAACCAACCAAATGCCCTCGCAGCAATCTACTACGACAGAGCAGACACAAGCAAAGCCCCCAAAAGCACAGCTTGGGACGCACCCGATCCAGGAACGTGCACAAACGACGACCTCACTACCACCGAACCCTATTATTCCATCTCAGCAGACACACCCGCCACGACCAAAAACCTCGACATCAATTTCTACGTCAACGATACGGGAAGTTTCCTCTGGGAACTCGGCGGAACATCGTTTCGCGCAAATTACAATGACCCCGTCCTCCTTCTCGCCGACCAAGGTAATTTCACCTATCCCGACGAATGGAATGTGCAAAACTTTGGCAGCAACTCCTCTATCCGCGTCATCGTTAATAACCCTACCCCCGCCGCCCATCCCATGCATCTCCACGGTCACAACATGCAAATTCTGCACGAAGGTCCCGGAAACTGGGACGGTGTATCCATCACGCGACAAAGCAACCCTCAACGAAGAGACGTGCAACTCGTACGACCCAACGGCCATTTGGTATGGCAAATCACGACGGATAATCCGGGAGTCTGGCCGTTCCACTGTCATATCGCGTGGCATGTGAGTGGAGGATTGTATGCGAATATTCTGGAGCACCCGCAGGATATCAAGAATAATATGTTGATTCCGAAGGAGCTGGCGCAGACGTGTACGCAGTGGAATGCGTATGCTAATCACGCGGTGGTGGAAGAAATTGATTCGGGCGTTTAAAAAGCAGAAAATCTTGAATGGGAGCTTTTGTAAATGGGGATTGGTGTACGGGATGGAAAGATATCCTCGATGTCTTTGCAATTGCCAGTGAAAGCATGGATTGGAGAATATACTCTAGATAATTCTTAATGTCTGGCTGGGTTGGGATTATATTTATAAAAGGTTGGATATGGGGGGTATAGATAGACTTTTAATGATTCATGAACATAACATAGTATTTTCAATATTTACAATTTTATATATTTAACAAACACACCTAGTTGGCATTTTGCAATGATTTAATTTATTGGAGTGCTTGATACAATAACGGTGAATAGAATAGCTTCATTTACGATTAGGTTGGTACATCAGGATTAGACCAAAACACTCGCTCGGAATGAGAAGAAGAGTATCGAGCGAATTACTCGTACATTATACTCGACAAGTCACTTATCACACAGTGTATACTTGTATAAATCACTATCAATAGGGATCTAAATTTCTGAATGATATATTTTGAAAATCTAAAATCTAATTGTATTACTCGTACTCGTAGAATAGATGGTTAGAATTGTAGCGAGTTACATTTAGTTTCTTTCATTTGGTTTTGATTTTAGGGGGTAATGGCATCCTGGATGTGCCTACGGAATTTAAACTCGATCTCGAAATCGGTTCATTTCACATCAGCGCACCAACCAACATACGATGTAGATCTCAGCGCTAGTACTTTGATAGGGATAGAGCCTACTCGAGTAGAGTAATGCTGTATATACCTACTCGTGTCGCCAGAAAGTCCGCAACTCTGGTAAGCTAGCACATACCATATAATGGTAAACTACAAGGGAAGTAACCTAGTTCCCGAGTTGCGGACATTCTGGCAACATGAGTATTCTGCGTTCGCACGGGCTGCACGGTTGTATTGCTGCCCCCTTTTTTTTGCTTGTGCTCACTTGCTCGGATCTCAGAGTTTATACGAGTACGAGTATTCTTTGGAGTTGGAGTTGGAGTTGGCTGGGGGAATTAATTATATGGTAAATACCTGGAATAGCATCATTTTGAACTTTGATACCCGAAATAGCCTAAGTACTAATTGAGGTATAATATATACTATTTTAGGTTAAGTCTTTTATATTATTCTGGTTACAAAATAAAATACATTAATCTGGTTTCAAAAACAGAAATAATACTATTCTGGTTACAAATTTATGTATTAATCTAATTACAAAAAAAAGGTGCTATTCTGGTTACAAAATTTATATGTTAATCTAATTATCAAAAAAAAAAGATGTTATTCTGGTTACAAAATTTATGTGTTAATCTGGTTATAACAAAATAGTATTATTCACATGAGAGGATATGAGAAGGGGGGAAGGGGAGGGGCTACACGAGAGGATATGGGGAGGGGGGAAGGGGAGGGGCCACACGAGAGGACATAGAGCTATTACTTATACCAAAATAACGAATCAACTTTGAGACCAGAATAGCACCCTTTCTTTTTCTGCAACTAGATTAACATATGAATTTTGTGACTAGAATCGTACCTTTTTAATTTTGTGATCAGAATAACATATAAATTATTTGAGACCAAAATAGCATCATTTTATTTTTTTGAGACCAGATTAACACATTATTTAAAAACAACTGAAATAACACTTTTTGAAAAGAAAAAAAAACCACTGAAATAACACAATGTGTTAATTCAGGCCTAATTAGAAAGTTTATATGCTATTTCGGGTATCAAAGTTGAAAATGATGCTATTCCAGGTATTTACCGGTAATTATAAGTTGTGGCGAATTGAATTGGGAATGGATTATAAATGAGGTGAGGGTGTTTTGTATGGGATTTATTTGATTTGATTGGATTGGATTGGATTGGTTTGAGTGGTTTGATTGGTTTGATTTGTGGGTTTGTGTTTTTGTGTTTTTGTTTGTTTATTTGTTGATGTGTATTTCAATGTAGATGGAGTGAAGTGGGTGAAGTGGGTGAAGTGGGTAAGGCAGGGGAGGTTTACTTATATTCCGATAGTAATAGACTGGTAGACTAACAGTAAGTAGGGTGGAGTGAAGGATGGAAACGCCGAAGAGCGAGACGGATTGCTTTCCAAAGGGGTATTGTGAGGTCTGGCTGGGGAGTTTGTATATATATACACGGGTGTGGTGATGAATGAAATGGGATCATTGGGATGGTATAGTATTTTTGTTGCTGTGATAGTTAACGTTGTTTAGAATTGGGATGCTGGATGAGGGGAAAACACGTAGACGTGTGAGTTTGTATATATATCCATTCTCAACCTCAAACTCTCATCTTATTATTATACACTCTAATTGATATTCTTCATGCGCCGAACTTCGGTATAGTAGTAGAGTTGAATCTGTAGTGGCTTTTGTTGTGAAGCGATATACATCATAGACTCATAGACTCACCACAAACCCGGGTTCCTATTTGCATATCAAGCATCAGGATAGAATAGGATTTTGAGTTCTATGGTTTGGCGGATCCAGTTGAGACTTATTACTCATAAAGTATACTCGGGTATTCGCTCTGTACAGTTGTGGTTTTGATCACGCAATACATTTCTTATTCTTCGAGTATGTATCTGTGTATCTTCAATGGCTACCAAAGAGTTGAGAAGTGGTTTGAGGTTACCGCGTGCCCGAGTAGGCAAAGAATATGCGAGGGTCAACGAGATTGAAGATGAGTAGATGCAATTTTGGGAAGGACTTTGGCTACTATAAGATCGAAATGCAAGTCAAAGAATTGTTGGAGAGAGTTCACAAAGGTTCAGATCACGATTTAGGTTAGTATATGCAAAGCAAGATAAGAGCCTGCCCTTTTACAGTCTAAGAAGGATAATCAGTTTCGCACACTTTCCGAATAAAAGGGGCAACTCGGTATTCTGTAACATATGATTCCGACCAGTCAGAGAGATATTGGTAGTGATGTAACGGTTAATTCTCCGTCCCGGGTAGTATGAGTTCATATTTTTTTTCGCTGACTCCTTGGAACAGCATATTATTTCCTCGAATCAACTATTCCAAAGCGGAATTCATGTTCGAAAAGCATGCCATTGTGGTACTTTCCATGTACTGTATGGCACCAGAGCTTCTATATATAGAACAGGTATACCGAAGGGTGAGTAAAGTCCTCAGCCAATCTATCCTCTAATCATGTAAGAATATCAACCTTGGCTTGTGTTTTTGTCAGAATCTGTCACTTTCCGAAAAGCTTGTCTTCCCAGATTTTCACTCTCCAATGTCGATTCTTTCATGAAAGGAGACGGAAGCAGACCAACGCCAGTCAAACATGCAATTGTCACCCAATTAATATGAAGGGCTCGGCGTAGAGTTGTAAGATCTGTAGTTTGAGCTCAGGTCAGGGAGGATGTCCAAGGTCTTGATAGTAGTGAGAAAGTGTACGGCATCTGACGCATCATGCAGAATGATGTTGGATGGAAGATCTATTGACCGCAGTTGACTGTTGAATTGGTGGTGAAAATTGCTGATCTCGAACGAAACTCGCGTTCCCATTGCTATTCCGGCATTATCAAGCGTTGACAAGCAAAATCGAAGCTTGCAGTGACACAGCTGAGGGTGAAAGTTGAAATTCATTTTCTATCCCGAGACCAACTTGCAAAAGAAAATACACGCGATTGCTTGTCTCGTTGTTCATTAATACATTACCCCTAAGCTAACTATGCATGCTTACCAGCCAAATTAGATGGCCTAAATATATCGCCTGGTAGTCTATCAAAAGTGCGCAAACAATAGCCATCGCTATTAGACTAAATGCAAGAGGAAACGCATCGATCGCGGAACAGCATGTGGAATATTGGATCGCTCCTTGAAAGTATAGAACCGAATAACAGATCAAGCACCATATGACCGTGCCTTGTATAAATGATTAAAAAAATTACAATGAACTTTGTATCGTTTGCAAACACCCGATGTGCAAAGATATGCTCTTTTCAATGGACGGCTAGAACCACAAGAACGAAAAGTTCAAAGATGAGAGGGAACCAATTTCTCAAGCATTTCACGGAAGAAATTGTGCAACCCCAACACAAAACAAGATTGAATGATGTCAATCTCACTAAGAGCAACAAAATTCGCATTTATTACACGCGTTCCAGCTTGGACCGGACAGATAGTGTAAGAAACAGTGGTGAAAACTATAAAGTTATACGCATGAGAGGTAGGTTAACCCAGGCAATCCATCTCCAGCAAACGTATTGAATGAAAAGGACTCCAACCATAGGAGCCAGAATAGAACCATCAGCCCAGGTCATTCCTAGGATACCAATACAAATAAGCCTCTCTATTGAAAGAGTAAGATCTGTCGAAGTTATCTCACAAAGCGCTTCTCTGCCACCGCCGCCGACCGCTTGAATAATTCTTACGGATAGGAGGATAGCGGCATTCTTGGCAGAGGCTTCGAGCATTTTGTCTGCTAGAAGACTGGATTCGAGTAATCTCGTCATCGTTAACTGGATCTTTCTCATTTCTGATCGACCCCATAGAGTCAATTCTGCTTAGTCCTTGGTGATGATACATCCAAAATGAGCCCGTTTGCTTTCATTTGTATACTGAAACACAAATAATGAAGTCTTGGAAAAGACGTCAGGTACATGTTTCCTAGATGAACATTAATTTTCCATGAGCATAACAACAGATGCAATGATGATAACAGTTGTAATTGGCTAAGTAGCAATCGAAGTTCGAGTTTGTAGAAGGTAGAAGTCTTGGCATCGAGCGATGACTAATTAGATCGATGACTAATCAGAGCAACAACTTCTTCGCAATGTATGTCGCAATGTGCCAGATTCTATTTTGAAACTTGCACCCTTCTTCTCTCATACACAAATTTCGACAAATCAGGAGTTTGCCCAATTTTTGATGGCTGTAGGGCTCTCGGATTATAGGTCTCTCTATTACACGGCTGTTCATTGTTGATATAAAGGTATCTAAGGAAATTCTACAGAACCAACAGACCACGCACGATTCACGACATACATATCTCAAGGTTGAGAGATGTTACCTCGTTTCTCAGACACGATCAACTAACTGTACGACATGGTCAAAAGATGCAAATGGAGATACGGAAACAGAATCGGGTATTTTATACAAAACATTACACGCGGCTACCGGAACCGCGTGAGATAATTAACCCACGCCCCCTAAACTAAACGCTACAGTATTACTATTCAGAGAATTTGCCTTACTGTTTGTCTTCCTTTAAATTCGTCGTCGTAGGGGAACCGTGGTGGCCTTATCAAGCGCAATCTTTCCTACGACGCCACCGCTGACTTTCTTTGCTGGAACATTGGATGCTGCTTTAGCTGCTGCGGCTTTGTATGTCCCAACGTTTTGGGTCCCATTTCTATAAAATAAGTTTGTCAGTCAAGGCTCATAACAAACTATAGTGCGTGGTAAAGGAAGCTCCTACGATGCATTGATTGTCATAACCATTCCAGCTTGGCAATGCTTTCCCTGCGCACAATATAGGAACATCGGAGCGGTACTATTGACCGTCATAGTGAAGGTCGTGACCATGCTTTGATTTGCTGTCGTCGGAACGAAGCCGCTATGAATTGCGTTGGCCATCGGCTGACATGGAGAATCGAATGCAGATTGTGTGACGGTATGGTTTCTTTCGGAGAATTGGAACTCCACTTTATCGCCGGTCTTTGCGTTGAGTTCTTGTGGTGTGAATACGAGGAGATCAGTGTTGCTTGAGCCGACGACAACAGTATGGGTTGTCGCGTCTGCTGCACTGGGCGCTTGTGTAGGTACTCGAGGTACGTTAGCTGATGAAACGTATGAAGGAGATCTCAGAGAACTTACTGCCAGCTACGAGACTAACTGCCATCAAGGCAACTGCGGAAAATTGAGAGAAATGCATAGTTGATTAGATTGTAAGTGGATTATGAGTTGTTGATTTGTGGAAGCTATTAAACACTGGTAAGCGATCAAGAAAAGGCGGGATAGTAGATTATATATCCAACCTTCGAAATCGACGACGATCAGCTCTTATAGTCTTAGCGGCAACTTCAGACAATTCGCGTTATGTTTTTGAGCTACCACGTTGCCACCCGAGGAGACTTTTCATCTGTTCAAGCACAACGTAAATACTCGGACCAGAACCTCAAAATAACTGATGTCAGATTCATGCGGGACACTCTCTGCCGGCAAGGAATTTCATCCAGCCAATCCCGTGTCTGGAGATCCTGAGGCTTGATCAAAGCTTTCCAAAACACTGAAACAACGTTATGGTGTACAAGCCTCAAGTTCGGAAAAATAACCATATTTGTCGTCTTGCGAAACGATCTAGTGATCTGCAACTTCAAGTCTGTGCGAAAGTTAAGAAATTTTAAGCTTGTGTTTAGTGTTATGTCCGCTCGCTGGAGATAGACGAATCAATGACATCGAATAGCATTTAAGAGTATTCTGAAACAAATCTGCGGCGGTCATGGCCCAAAGTTTTCATTGAACCCCAGTACAAATTCTTATGTCATTGAGAAGGAGACCGCTGTGCCTGGTTGTTTTCGCGAGCCGTTGATGCCGCTCTTCCATATCGATGACATATCCACATTGGGGGCAGGAGGATGCGACAGCAAGCATCTCCTTCAAGAGTGCTAACTCCCCAAGTGCCGGGACGATCAAGCCGATATACCCACACTCTTAATTCGAGAATTTCCAGCTTGGTGAAGCTCAAGGCAAAACTTTGGCGAATAGTTTTGCAGACACGATTCATCGACAAACGAGTTCTTGAGCTCCGCTTAAGACTCCTGCCTCAAATCTGCTTTATTCTAAAGATAGGACGATATCCACATATCATCTCTTCTTCAACTCCCGACGATCTATCCGTTCAACCGTTGCTATCTCATCTAGTGGGACTGTGGACACTGTCATTTGTATTTCTTTTGAGAGCACTAAGCATGAGCTGAACGAAAGGTTGCTTTTTCTAAACATCGCAACTGCACATTGCCGGCATCAAGACCTAGACGGACTTGTCAGTCGGACAGAGTCCCGCAGACATACGCGCTTTATACATAGCACCGAAGGCCGAATGAACGATGAGAAGTGTAGCTGTAGATTTTGAGCGCTACTTGGTGCATCACACCAGAATCTCTCGTAGCATACCCACAGATCATTACACATCTGAATCTCGATAGTCAAAATCATCACTTACCAAATTTCGGATGAGCACTAACAAATCTCTGAAAAGTAATTTTCGGCTTTCCATAGATCAGCTATTTGATTCCCAATTGGGGAAAGCGATTGTCCCTATACATAATTATTCCCTTTTAATCTCATAATATTAGATTATCTATATAAGATCTTAATAGAATTATCAAGAACAATATTCTAATTTGTGAAATATCATTTCTTATTAATTTCTCAATATATCATTTCATTTTTATTATTGAAAAAAGATAATCGCTTATAGAGAATAATTGCTTTCCCCAATTGAGAATCAGGCAACAGATCCATGGAGAGCCGACTATTACTTGCTACTATAATGATATTACAAAGTGATCTGCGGATATCACTCAATCTTCATCCACAAATCATCACATATCGGTGTCAACGAATAAAAATATCATCTGTCAAGATTCAAAAAGATACAAGTGGCCCGCAGTTGCTAAACACTGTATCTTCAACTATATCACCGTCACGTTCTTGGATCACTGCTCTTCTTATATTGTACCTCATATTTCTTACTAGAATGATATAAGATTGACTTGAGGTCTATTACATCAGTAGAAAGAAGTGGAAACGCATTATGTACCATACCAATAGGATCATAAGGATATACCCAAATTTCACCCCACTACCCGGGCCCAAGCCCAAATCAGCCAAGTAAAAGACACCTAAATATATACAAAAAGCCAATTATTTCCCCCTTCTATCATATCTCCCAGTTTGACCCCCTAGACCTCATCCTACTCCTACTCTCCACCCCCTCCGTCGCCGGACTTGGCACCCTCTCACCCCCCTCATCCCACTTACTCGGCTCACTCCCCAACACAAACTCCAACGTTCCCCCTTTTTCAAAAACATCACTCCACTCCACCCAATTCTTATCCCAATCCCTCCCATTCACTCTCAAACTCTGCACATAAAAATCCGCATCGCCATTCCCATCACCGCCTACACTCGTAATCGTGAGTGTTTTCCTCTCATACTCATAGGAGGAAGATGCGGCTGGTGATAAATGAATCGTGGTACTTTCGAACCAGGGGGATGTGAGCAGGAAATTGGGGGTCGCGGTGATGGGGTAGAGTCCCAGTATGTTCCATATGAGCCATGTTTGCATGGCGCCGGCGTCGGAGTTACCGGGGAGACCGCTGGGTGAGAGGTTGTAGGCTTTGGCTACTTTTCGTGATTGGTAGGTGGAGCGGGATTGGTTGTTGATGAAGTTGTAGAGGTAGGGGACGTTGAAGGTGCTGGGTTTTGTTAGTTGGTTGTTTTAATCATATCTTTCTCGGATGAGTTGAGTAGAAGGGGAAGACGTACACTTCATTCGTATCATCAAAAATGATACCGCCTGGATTATTCGGATTGGCGCCAACTGTAAACATGGTCTCCAACCTCTCATAAAACGTGTCATCGCCTCCCATATACTCAATAATGGTATTCATATCATGGATATCACCAAAGGAATAGTGCCACGAACTTCCCTCGTAGAAAGGATCACCCCAATATCCATTATTATTTAAAGGATCCACGGCTACGAACGGCGTCGAAGAACCTGCTGCTGTGCGAGGAACCACAAAACCAGAGTATCCGATAGAGGTCAAATTATGGTTCCAGTGATTCCTCCAATTTCGCGATCGAGCCAGATATTTAGCTGCATCGTCGGAATTTTCCAGTCCATTGGCTACTTGATAGAGTGAGAAATCATTATATGCGTAATCTACGGCGCGAGAACCGGCACGACTATATGTCGGGGTGATATAACCGTATTGTTTCCAATCAGGCAATGCACCTCTCCCTTCCTTGGTGGAAGAATCGGGAGCCATTGGGTCGGGTGGCACGGTGTTGTTAGGTTGAACTTCGGCATCCGTGACCATGGCTGCGTAGCCATCGTCCCAATTGATTTGACCTCGGACCCCTTTCACATAGGCGTCGGCGAGAACATTGTCGGCGTTGGAACCACCTTGGGTTCGGCCGTTATAGTTGGATGAGCGGGCGTCGGGCATGTAGCCATCGTGACGCCAAATGTCAATTAAAGAACGAATGTATTCCTCGTAAGCGATGGGTTGGAGGACGTGAAAGAGTGCCGTGCCACATCGGAATAAATCCCAAAGAGTGAAGATATCTTGGTAATATGGTTCCGTGGAAGTCCATCCGGGATTTTCTCCTGTCTGATTGGTTGGAAGAAGACTCATAAAATACATGGAGGTATATAGTAATCCAAGATTTGTGGCGTTGGTGGAAGTTGTTGTGATTCTTGATAGAATTTCATTGTTCCAAACGGATTTAGTGTTTGCAACAACTGTTGAGAATGTGGCATCATCTGGGATCTCATCGTTGACATTCTGGCATGCCTTCTCCTTGGAGATCCAAGAAATTCCGACACGTGATGCGACAGCGGTAGTATTGAACGTATAGAGTCCACCAACAGCAGTGTTCAAATCGGCCGCAGTAGCCGTGTTATTGGGCTGAATGACGCTACCACTAGCAGCGGTATTTGTGTAGACGCTTGAAGCAGAAGCTGTTACGTTGAAGTATCCGCCTTCATAAATCAGTGTAGCCCAGGAATGTACGATAGGAAGTAGACTTACATGAATATATCGTCCAATCAGGAGATCTATTCCATCCATTGTTGTACACACCAGATGCCTCATAATGACCGTCTGGAAATATTTGGAAACTACCTCCGTCGTATGCTTGACTCAAACCTTGGCCTCTGAAAGACGGAACCACGTGGCTGACGTCAATCAAAATGTTGTTTCCAGTGCTTGCAGCGGGAAAGGTATATTGATACAGTCCAGCATGTGAAGTAGCAGCAAGCTCGACAACAATGTTGTCACTTGTCTGAGCCCTGTAATAGCCCACAGAGCCTTGGTCTGGAACTGCTCTGCCGACAGTTATACTTGACAAAGGGTTGGTGATTTGTCCCACCAAAGGCAATTGAGCAACCGTTCCATATTTTGGTGCACCTCCAGTGCCGTGCTCATGCATCATACTGAAGCCAGAAAAATTACCATTGGGAAGATAGCCAGAGTACGAGTCAGTACCCTGGACAAGAAGATCCGGGCCAAGCTTGACCATCCCCCAAGGTCGAGCAACACCAGGGAAATCATTGCCACCATTTTGTGATCCGGTACTTATGTTGTTAGATATGGTTCACTTCGAAAGAGTTCTGTATACTTACAAAACATTCACATATTGTGAATAATCGGTTTGGGCTTGAACAACATCCAATACAAGAAACGAGAGGATCCAAACTAAATTCATGATACAGAGGCGCGCTGTGGACAACTCGAGCGTATGAGGAGGAATAAGGTGGCTATCATGAGAGGTCTTATAAGAACTCCATAAGCCTAGGATCATATACTAGGGAGGCAGGATTTTGTAGAGGTTGCCTAAAGAGGAGTTGCTCGAAAGGCCATATTGAATGTTGAGCGCATGGAGGAACTGGGAATATAAGACCATATTCTTCCATGGGGGGAATTAATGCAATTATTGATGCAGTACGACCAAAAGGTTCATAGGAAGTGCGTGAATTTCAAAAGATGGAGAACTGATTGGAATTGATGTCACCTCGAGATTGTGCAACTCACACACATGGTAGAAGGAACATGCTTAAGAACCTTCTGCATTTGGAACCACCTAGATTCGAAACTATCGAACTAGGAGCACTTTTAGGAGGTGATCGACTTTCTTATCCAATGACATTGTCACTTGATAGTCCATAGTACACCGTGAATCATTTTGAATAATCTGATTCTTAGGAACCTTGAGCACAGTCGAAGTGAACCTCAATATTTGCTGCCGAACCACACGTGCGAGAGACGTGCGACCTCATTGTAGTATTGACGATTGTTCTCCTGATCCCGAGATCCAATAAATTGCTTGGAAAGTTGTGGGGTTTGATCGGATAAGTTATAACGTCTTCCTTCCGATGCAACACTATCCAACCACAACAACGAAACAAACCTCATGGTGTTCATGAAAAGTTCACAGGTGAGATGAAAGTTAATCGAACACAGCAGAGACATGCATGAAGTCGATATTATGATATTGTTCGGCAGCGAACAAAGGATCAACTATGATCCTCGAGTCATAGGATAATGAGATGATGAGTACTCGAGTAGAAATGTTGGATATGGATGGGTCCTTTAGTGGAATTGCAAGTAGGGATTTTCTATTTTTTAGGGTTTGACTTGTGATCTGCCTGAAGTTTTAACAAGCGGCTATTACCAGCCACTATTCACACGATTTTAGCGCTAGATAGGCTTATCAATTCGCTGAAAATACACAAGCCACAGTTATAGATGTTGTGCATTTTGCCTATTTTCCATTACCAGCATCACTTATCCCATCTAGATCTAAGAACACGACTATTTTCCATATATAATGAAATCTAGTCTTGTTCTTTCAGCCTATTCAGACCCTTTTTCATATGATCATGATCTAGCCATGCGGGGCTACGAATAAATACCACGACCTCGGTGCTGGCCACAATTAATGCATTTAAGCTGCTAATAGTTGATAATCAATATTGATAATGGCGCTACATCGCGGAAGAGCAAGAGGGCAAGGTCCATCAAGTGTGAAAAAGATGCCTAATCATCTACTAGGCGCCTACACGGATAACTTTTATTGTGGTAGATACCCCAAGATCGCATAGCATACTCTATAAATCGAGGAATCGCGCGGTATGAGTTGGGATTGCAGAAACCCACCTCATACATTGGGCTGTTGCCTTACACTGTCGCCGTTGATTCCAGCCAACTTCAAAGGAGAATTGAAAGATACCGGTATCAATTTTCATAAAGTAGGGAATTGATCTTACCGGTACTACTTACTGTATGTCGTCGATCATTACGTTGCTCGAGGTGTACGGCTAAGTTTTCTTTGGCGAATCTATCTCCTTAAATCGTTCATTTATATACACCATTAAGTTATTCAGACTACCCAAAACTGTCGATAAATCCAAAAGCCCAAGAAGTTGCGGCCCGGTCATGGTCAAGAATCTCTTTTAAGGTTAAGTCAACGGGTCTGTCTAGGTTATTCATTTAAACCATAAGCTTTGGTATCCAATTTATCGGTTGTGTGTGGAAACTCCATTATATATTCCGCAGACATTGTTATGGCATGCATTGTCCCATCTGTGCAGATGAATTGGCTCGATTTTACGCATAGTGCTAGAATACTCTTGTCGGTATAGTCATCTATTGTACCAGAGCACCAGCGCTGTACTAGTGAAGGGCTAGGGCAAGCACTAGCGAAAGGATTTTAATATATATATAATCCCTATTATGTAAAATAGTAATCAATAAAATTTTTATAAATATTAATATTGAACACTTGTCAGACTTTCTACCATCGTAGATCTAAAAAATATTTCTGTTGATATCAACACTTATCAATACTAATTAATGATTACAAATTAGTATATCAACTCTTTTGTGACGGAACAGACGGCTCTCTTCCGCCCACTGGCTCATACTACGTACGTAGCATGATACGACGGCTCTCTTGGACCTTTCTTTTACAGCTTAGAGCCTTAGCTCTATTGCTCTAGACCTAGGCATCGTACGATGCTTATCTCTAGGACTCTTTCACTCTTTTGGGCCTAGCCCTTATGGCTCCCAATACCTATA